TTCCATGGGACTATACTAAGAAGAGTGTGTTTTGGGATTCAATCAGTCTCTGTACCAAATGGAACCGTACAGTCAAATCAGTGCCTGATTGGAACTTCTTCAGTCAAATACAGGGTTTTTTATTCATCTGAGTAAAATTTGTGCTTTAGAAAACTTTGTAAGACAAACTAAGAAATTTTATATAGTCATGTTGATGAGAATGAGGTCCGTCGATTGTTAGATCACTCTTGCTATTTAATTCCTCCATCAGTGTCAATAAGACCCGCACAAACTCGCTCTAGTCCATTTGTAACATTTCTGTTCTACTATGTAGTTGACTGAGATGTCAAGAAAATGTCACTGTTAGCAGCTCTGAGCGGTGTTAGACGCTCATATGTACCTGTTAAGCGAAAATATGATACATTAAATGGAAAAGACAGTTGAAGCATAAATGCCTAATGTGATAAATTTGCACTGGAGCAAGTTTGTGCAGATCACATTGATACTGATGGAGGAACTAAAAAGCAAGGGTGATGTATCAGTCCGGTAAGCTCTGGTTTGGACATATAGAAATTATAAGTACCTGTCACTGTTGTTATTGGAGACATAATGTACTATTAAGATCTAATTTATTTTGACATAGCACGTTTAATTTTTGCTTTATTTCTCTTAGCTTTTGCTAATTCTTTTTCTCCAGAACATGAATTGTTTCATCGGATGCTAGACTGATACCCTATGGTTTGTTAAGTCTACCATTCTTTGTCGCATAAATCACAAGGTCGGTTCATTACATACAGAACAGTTTAGTCAATTGATTGTTGAAAATATTTCCTACAATATCATCTGATATATTCTGAAAAATAAGTTTCACGCAAGTATTGAAAACTCCGTGTTTTCAGTTGGATATTTGGAACTTCGCTGTACGGTTCCAAGTAAGCTTAGTGCCTAATAGACAACCACCTCGTTTTTTTATACATTAACGTTTTGTGCGTATGACTTCGTTAAATTTGATCGCACAGAACTTCGACTATACGGTTCTATTTTGGTATAGAGACTGACTGAATCCGAAAACACTGTTTCCCTAGTAGTGTTTTCTGGAATCTGTTTTTTATGGAAGTTTTTCAATAATTTTTAGATTATTAAATAACTAAGATCCTTAGCTGTAAAAGCCCTCATTTTGGTGAAAATCGGTTCAGAACTCACGCATTACTCGAACCACAAGTTAGATGAATTCGTTTCTCATTGCAATTCGATATTTTATTCTATAGAAAATCATATTAATCATCACTACGAACTTCCTGTTCCCACTCGAATATATAATCCACCAGCTGTTGACTTGTCATCATAATTGTAGCCAATGACACGTTGTACAATACTATCTTTCCGATGTCTGATGTAAGCCCGAAGATTACTTATTCCACCTCGAGAATAAATATAGTTGTAGAGATAATTATAACTCGATATAGTTACTATATACCTTTATCTAATGCTAACCGACGATCGTCGGTGTTTCTCGAACGCTGGTAATGAACAGTTTGTTTTATTGGGGATGATACATCCTCTAATGATTTTTCTAACTCACCACCATTGTCATCGTCATCAGTATGCTGATCACTTAGAGAAAGGTTATTCTCTTGTGTCTCATCTAATTTAACATCATCAAATAATTTTAAATCAAAATAAGGTGTCGTTTTTGCGATGGCTTTGAATATATCACCACGACCAACAGGACCGTTTATATTCAAATGAGAACCAATTTTTGATTTATTAGAGTTTAAATTTATTTTTCGACGATGACGAACGATATCGAAAATAAAGAATAACATCCAGAATATTGATAACCAATATAAAAATGTGAAATAAACCTAAAATACACGATTTAGAACAGTCATACGAAATCTTGCACACGACTTTTGCACAGCTATGATTACTATCGACTCTCAGTAATTCGAGACACAAAAAATGGCTTTCATCCACCTTTTTTTGTTTTTTTATTTCGATTGCATGGAAGAAAAGATATGTTCATTACCTCTGCAAGATGTTTAAATCCTTGTTGTTCTTCTTCTGGAATAATTGCATGAGAGATGGATAATGCAACACCAACAAGAAAAATGACTAAATGGAAAGAAAATAAGTAATAGACTATTTTTTCTTAGTGTAATGTTCTGCGATGTTCTAATCACCTAAACCATACAGGATACTAAATATTTTGTATGCATCATTATTTTCGTCGTTGTTACTAAAGTTGAAGATAAGTAAAGGTTTAGAGAAATAAGATTAGCTACCACGACAGTCATATATATATATATATATATATATTTCGCCGTTTGAATGTAAGTTATAATAGTACTGATCAAATTAATTACTTCTTATCATTAAAACTTTGTAGAATCGCAAAAAAGAGATGAATGGTGGCCATACAGAGAGAAAGATACAGCTACTTTTTCATTTACTTCTTCTGTTTCTATATTGACATTGTTAATAGGTTACAAAAAATACTTGAAAAGTAAGTGCTATTGGATACTACGTCCATCCGAAATTAGCATCGTTGACTGTTGTACACTGCCTCTTTCTCATACTTACATTTGATGTTTCGAAATTTAGCCATCATTTTTGTTTTCTCAATAAAAAGGTATACTTAGTGACTTGAATACTCAATAAGTAAAATGCCTAGACAAATGCATATTTGTTTTATCTTTACTCGCGTTTTCCATTCATTCATTTATATAAGCTGTTCATTAGGCAAAAAATAATTATCCTTATGATTCGTTAGTCGCGCATCTACAAACATAGCTCAGTTACACAAGGCAAAAGTAATGATAGTGAGAAAAATAAAACAACATAAAGAAATCAAAAAATGTTTTTATCAATCGATGCTCGAAGAAATGGATGGGGAATGATTTCGCAAAAGGGTCTTAAGCAATTTAAACGAAATTAATTATTCTCAAGGACTTTAACAATAATTTAGTCCAAAAGTAAATACGTTTGTCTTACAGCTATAAGTTTATGGGTCATCATTCGTGTAAATGTGATCTGTATTTTCTTTCAATTTGTCCTTCTCTTTTCTATGTGACTGTTTAACTTAGCTAGTGGCTAAGTTTCACTCAAATGATGACAATCTTTACCTTTGTTCTGACTGAAAATGTGCTACATGTTTATTTTTGAGTTATTAGTATATTACCCTCTTTTATTGGGGAAACGGACACTTGCTCGTTAAAGAGATTTCGGCGTGTAAAAATTCATCCCAAAATGATGATTAAAACGCTGTAGTATCCCAGATTAATGACTCTCATATAATGACGACTTACGAGGGAACCTTTCTAGGTGATAAAACGCTTTTTGATCGAAACCTAGCGGGTTATAGGTTATCGACCATGCTGATTCTGAATATGATCATGAGAGCTGCCCTTATCCGTTCGAAGATCTGGTCTTCTGGAAAATCAGTTTTTCACAAACACTAACAAATAACCAAAATCTTTCTTAATGGGACATAATTGTAGTTCGCACATTTCTGATTAGAGTGAGACATCTCCTAGCTCTACATGACCTTTCTTTGCAAAGTTACAGAATTTACAAGAAAAGCCTTAAATTAATTTTTTCCTTCTTATTTGTGTCGCTCTAAGCTGGCAATGAACATTTAGGGCTTTTCTTGTAAATTCTATAACTTTGCAAAGAAAGGTCATGTAGAGCTGGGAGATGTCTCATTTTAATCAGAAATGTACGGGCGACAATCATGCTTTATTAAGAAAGGTTTTGGTTATTTGTTAGTGCTTCTGAAAAATTGGTTTTCCAGAAGACCGGATCTTCGAACGGTTAATGGCAGCTCTCATGATCATATTCAGAATCAGCATGGTCGATAACCTATAACCTGCTAGATTTCGATCAAAAAGCGTTCTATCACCTCGAGGTGTTCCCTCGTTAGACTGATGATGCTCATCAAATGATAAGTTATGTCATTATAGTACGATGAATTATATTAGCTGTATATACTATATCCGTATAATAGCTATGTCATTCCTAGTACAATCCATCACAAAAACAATTTATGCCAAAATCTCTTTAGTGAACAAGTGCTCGTGTGTAGCTATCCTCGTGAGCAGCTGTCCTAGACTCCTTCTTTTGTAACAATAAGAAATCATGTGTATGGTATATACATTAATTTCCCCTATTATTACCACGATGAAACATTCGCATTCGCGCCGAACTGAATTATTTTTTACTTTTTTGTTATGCAATTTACTGACTATAGACTTGCAATGTTTATCTTTTCTCTCGTTAGTTCAGGTCACATGTAGGTTATTTGCCTGGTGACTTTCTCACTCTCTCGACACATGCGGGCAAGGTGTCTATCGGTGAACTTCACAATGTCAAGCGGTCATAAGTACTAAAGGCAGCAAAATATAGAGAATTCGCAATCGATCTGTACCTAACTTACATGGTGACCTGAACTATTAGCTGTATCAAAATATAATGTAGTCCGATGTTTTTTGAATAACTTTTGAACGAAAGGCGATAGAGATCTGCAGTTTTCAGATTCTGAAACTAGACACTTTGGGACAAATCTATAGAGCAATCAAGGCTCCCGATGAGGTTTATCGTAGTGTACCATTCGAGGCAAATCCGAACGCTTACCTTTCCCAAACATGTGGATCATAGCTAATCGACCATGTTGATCGCCATGGCGATGCTTGTTACATCCCCCACTCAACCACAACTTCAAAAAAGCCAATTTGGGGAAAAACCGGTTTTTTGCCTGTTACCGTCAAGAATTAAAAACCGTATATTTCACTCATTTCTCGTCCAAGAAGACTCAAATTTTCAGACAATGATTAACAGAAATCATGGAATCGGAACTGGTCGAGAAATCAGATCTAAACTTTGGATCCATGGGAAGTTTTCCGGAGATCTACGAAAAAATCGTGTGCATAAAGTGAAAGTCCTATGTAATTTGTTTGGCTGGATCTACATTCTATGACCTATTCTGAGAATTTTCTCAAAGTTTGAGTCTTTTTGAAAGAGAAATGGTTTTTAATTTTTGACGGTAACAGGCGAAAAACCGGATTTTCACCAGTTTTGTTTTTCTTAAGTTGTTGTTGAATGGAAAATGAAACAAACATCTCCACGACGATCAGCGTGATCGATTACCTATGATCTACAGGTTTCTGAAGTTTCCCGACGTGTCTGGAACGAGACAGATGTGTTCTCGGAAAATGTCTGTATGTCTGAAATCAAAGGAGATGGAGACCTGGACCGTGCGTAGTCTTGAAGAGAAATGTTTTGGCTGCTGATTGCTATTATTTGAGATTGGAGTTATAGTGTGGTTTGGAAACGGTAAACTTTCGAATTTTACCTTGAATGGCACACTATGGTAAACCTGATCGGAAGCCCTGATTGTTCCATAGGTTTACGTCCCAAAGTGTCTAGTTTCAGAATCTGAAAACCACAGGTCTCTATCTCTTTCATTCAAAAGTTACTCAATAAATATCGGACTGCATTATATTTTGGTACAGATAATAGTCCGAAAATCATAGAATTCACAAATACATTATATACACCAATACGCATTATTGTCATCCATTGCATATCGAAATGAATTTTCAGTGAATGCAAATCGATTTTATAGAAAATCAAATTCTCCGTGAATGTGTATTTTCCAAGCAATGGCTGACATGTACATTGTGTTTATAATAAGAAGTACGGGTAGATAATGAATGATGAATATGTTGTTTAAGACCTTTCCTTCGAAAACTTGAAATTTTAATCTTGCATGTATAATTCGTACTCTTTAAATAATTATATATAAAAAAAATCGAACTAACCTGCCTTGAACAAATGGATTCGGCCATGACCGTCTCAATAATAATTGCGCTTCTTTCAATAAACGATTACTTGAAAATTTTTTGTGTTGATGTGAAGCAATATTATTATTGTTAACAATAGCTGTATTAGTTATTGGTATATAAGGCGAATTGGAATGAGATGATGAGGAACGTGATAGTCTGACAACGACTGGTGTCGTTGTCGTTGAATGTTGAATAGACATTGGATTGTCTATTAGTGTGGAGTTATTGCCATAATTCGTAGAAATTCTATCGAGATAGCACATACTTCTACGGTCATATAAGTTCTGATAAGGATGATTCATTCGATCAATTGATATTTCACTTGTCACACAAGTTCTTGGAGTACTAACCGTTGGTAAATTTAAATTTGACGCATATCGTCTATTTGCTGAAAATAATGGATGCGTTTGTTGTTGAGATGATGGATGTTGAGAATTCGCTGTGGCATCTTGCCGTTTGAAAAAATCCGTTCTCACGTGTAACATTGATGAGGTACGGCTATTTTTTAACGGTAATAATTCGTGTTCATTTTGATCAATTTGATCATTTTCTATTGTTGGTACTTTCAGATCCCTCGCAGAGCTTGCCGTAGACGAATTTCTCATTTATTATCTTCTCTTAATAATTTTTGTTCATTAATAAAAGGCAAACTAATCTTACAAATAAAACAATAAAAGAAAAGCAAAAAACATTACATTTTGTGTATAAAACTGTGAATTTCATCATCGTTTACATTCACATTTTATTTTTTCATTTCCCATACTGTTATGCAAATTGTTTTTGATTTTATCACTTTCATCATTCGTATTTATATACGCTTTAAACTGCCGAAAAAATGTAGAATCAAAGATAAAAGATTGATCAAAGAAGACACATTCATCCAAAACTGTTTTCTTACTACTGTGGTACTGTATACTGTGGTATACTGTGTAGTATACTGTGGTGAAAATGTTACCGTATAATTATATATAAGGGACCTTGTATCGATTTTTTTTCCTGGTTCTGCTTGAAGCACAATAGAGCCTCATTAACGCTCCAAATAGTAGTACATTATATACTCAATATGATTGATTGAAAACTGATACTTATTCATTTGCTTTTCCTCTTTTTGTATCTATTATCAGTCAGATCTAATGTGTATGTGTGTGTGTTTATCTTTAATGTTATTGTACACTAGCAACTTTTTTCTTCATGAACAGACAAAATGATGTCATGAGTTTTTCCTCTTTCTTTTTGTGCTGTTCTTATATTTATTGTTAACGTAATCCTTTTTCCTCTTATCTTCTTACTAAATCAAGTTTAGAGCAATATGATTGATCATTCCTCACTGTTTAAATAACAACACAATTAGTTGCATTTACATCAGATCGAATTTACATACCTCTTATAGTTTACTCTTTCACTTTTCTGGTGACAATGTTGAGTATTTCTGGATTTGAAGACTAAAAAAATCATTGAAAAAAATCAAATATTTTTAAAATTTAACTAACATTTATACTTTCGATATAATCTATTACTTGTATTTAGACGTCTTACTTGATTTTATCAACAAATCGAAAATAACTCGAATCATACTAATAATTTCATTTTTTTAAGTGAATGATCGTTTTGTTTTGCATTTAAAAGTCAAATATTAATGAATTTTATTTTGTTTTCTCTATTCGAATAGAGTAATTAAATATACAACTGTATGGTATATGTGGATTTTGATGTATTATATACATATATATAAATACTTTATGGATAGAAAAGGAACGGGGAAAAGTTCACAGTAGTTACAATAATTTATCATCATCGAAAACAAAAAACACTTTTGCACAACGTATTGATGATATTATATATTGCGTACATTAGATGCGTGTATATTTGAAGTAATAAAACACAAAATTGAATCATGAATAAAGTAATAAAATGAATAAAGTTTTTAGGTGATCGCAATTACAGTCAGTTTGAATAAAGTGTCTTCTTTGTCTTATAAGATTAGTAAATGCTTTGTTATTCAATTTTTCAACGTGACTACCGTCGAGCTTCTCTATAGCGGTCCGTAAATCAACGTGAGAACAGCAGTCCATCTTTGTATTAAAAAGAAAGCTCAATGGTGAGTTATATTGCATTTATAAATTTTAATTAATGATTATTCATTTAAAAACGATAAAGAAACATTTATGAGCCATTGCACGTAAGCCACGACCTATTACAGCGGAGTGGCCTTCAATCGATGTTCTCAAAACTTTTCCAAAGTAGGGGGCTTTTGTAGACCAAACATTTTAAGGAATTTTGGTAAAAGGCGCAAATCAAAAAGTTGTATC